AGTGATTGTTTGATGCTTTCTTTATCTGGCATACAATCTTCACAATGTCGTTTCATATCAATTATTTTAAGAAGGTGCAGTTGATCAATCCCTTTTATTAGGCTAAAAACTGTTTTATCCTGAATTTTCGCTTCTTGCAGACAGACCCATGTACTTCTTAAACTTTAATGACAGTTTTGAAATCCAATATTTTCAATTACCGTCTCCTACAAAACATCAGGTCATGCCTACAATGAAATAAGATGTTAAAATTTGTCCCGTGCAACACACATTATCTGAACTTTATGCTATTGTTTCGTTTTCTCATTTGCAAACTGTTCGATATTATCTCCGAATAGTGTTAGAAATGCAACCGTTAAATCAACAGAATCATAAAATAGTCAAATGTTTATTTTCCATGTGTATTTAACCTTCAATTAAAAGAAGACATGTTTTAGAAATTTCAAAATTCAAATTTTGCCAACTATTTTCATTGAAGCATTTTATATTGAATGAATTCAACAGGGACACAAAACAGCCTATGTTCAGTATGTGACCATTTTCAGAATTTCATTATTTCAAATGCAAATTAAATTATAGCACTAGCTATTAAATGATTAACTTTTAACTATTTCAATTTGCAGTACGAAATGATAATGCAGTTTACTACCTCTTCAAAGCGAAATGTTGTACTCGGTAATTATAAGATAAGGAGATCAAAAATTATCATTTTAGAATAAACTGGTAAATGCTTATGTTAATTCATCAAACTATTTGACCATACTAGATGTTCTGTTGTCATATACCCAAAGGAAAAAAGAATCAAAACAAAGAAATATTTTTTCTCTATTTTGTATGTTGAAAGATGATAGATTAGAAAAGGATCTGGATTCTTCAGGACAGACATCGTTGTATAACATTTACCTTTTAAAGCTGACTACATCATGGTTTTGAGATTGGTTGTCTTCAGTATCTGTTTTTGTTATTAAAAAAGAATATGAAGAAAGAACAAAGTACGTATAAGGCATTGCAAGGTGATACGTCAAAATCCTTCGGGTTTGCTTTCTCTGTAGACAGTTTCTTTTATCAGACGTTTGCAACAAATAGAAACTTAAAACAATGTACCTCAGACATTATAATTTATTTTTTTCCACTTACATTGTATTTTATTATATTCTATATATGAACATATTCAACTATCTTGTATTGTTGTAAAGAACATGAGCTTGCAAGTACGTTTGTTATTGCTGGAGACAGAAACAGTAGACTAAATGTATTTTACTGCATTTATTAACAAACCACAATATATAATTTACTGAAGGCGAGACAAATGAATAAAATAATATATTGTTGCATTTGAGATATTTAAAGGATTAATGTATTAGTCTCACACATTATATACATACTGAAGACAAATAAAGCCTAGGAAATATGAGCCTTTACAAACATAAAACATCTCCAGGTAATTTGAACATATATCTAGAAGCAAACGTATCAAGAATGAATTTACTGCCATGCACTGTAACAACAACAAACAACAAAATAAAAATAAGCGAAATATATATAACTACAATTTAATGAAAATAAAAGTGCAACAACATTACGTATTTTATATCTTAAAATTTATTGATGCGTTCTGCTAAATAGCTTTATCAGATTTGATTTTATTTTTTTTCATTAGATTTTTGTTTTTACAATGTAATGAAAGATGCATAATTATATATACATGTACATCATAGTTTACAAATGGTTTCTATTTCTCGCAAAATATTCTTGATAAGTACTCGTCTCGCAGTGTCGTATAAACATTTTTAAATTTTTTATTTCACCAACGTCATACATTTTTGACTGTTTCTGTCTTAGCTCTGATTTATCATCGAATTTCATGGGTTAAATGTGCATGTCCATTATTACAAGAACTCTTATAAAATATGATGAGGTTAAAATTTAACATCTTCAGGTTGCAATATTACTTGGTTATTTTATAATTTTAAATTCATTCAAAATGATTTGATTTTCATATATCTAGCAATGCAATGACATAAGATTAAGCATATGAAGATTTGCAAGCATATTTCTTACGAGTAATTTCTTCTGTGAAATGTGGGATGGTCGGTTTAGTTAAAAGCAAGGCTTTGTCCATTCATTCCCAAACAAGGGTAAAAAAATAAAGCCAATCTTGATACAGAATGTCCTTTTTTTCAGTGAAAGTCATAACTAAAAAGTGCACGAAGTTAAATCAACATTGGCGACAAAATATTCCCATCAATGTACGTTGCAATTATATCAAGTTTCTTTACCTTCATCTTCTCTGAAGATTAGATCATGTGTAAAGTTTCTTCTGCATCTTAACTGACAGTCTATTATGTTTCTTCTATCTTAATAATTTCAGCGAATGGTAAACCATTCCATATACCACCATCATATGTTTTCTAAACGACCCTTTGTATATAAATTGTTTTGTACCGTCTGCATACTAGACCTTGTAAAATACTCTTTGCAACAAACTATGTTCTGTACTGCTTATACTAACACCAGATAGTACTAGACCAATCGTTTCAATTTATTTAAGACGTTTCCAACTCATTTAGAGTACTGGACAAAAATTCCTTTGCCAGAGAATCACCTTAGCGTTAAAGATTAAGTTAAGGGTTTTCAAGATAAAAAAGCACACTTTACAAACGAATAAAAATAGGTTTTAATGGTATTCGAAAACATGCACAAAAGCATTTTAGAAATATTAAGACATTGATATCGTTCTCACTTATTAGGATCGTTTGTGAATATTGAAATAACAAAGTGAAGCAAGAAAATCGTGCAACAAAGTATAAAACCTCATAACTGGCATGAGTACCTGCTTCATCTATTATTAAAAGAGGTTATTTCATCTTGTACATACATTTTTGCAATGTAGTTAGAATGTTTCCTCACTTATAACTTAAAGAAATGACTTCATTCCTCTACTTTATGACTTAAGCCCGTGCTAGGGTGTGCCCGAGGTCTTCCTCCACCAGTAAAGCTATATATATGTTATGTGTCAACCGATCATCCACATAAATTTGATAAAACAATACACTAAAATAGAGAAAAACAGAATCCCTAAAGAAAGTCCAACACAACAAAACTGAAAATGTTGCAGGCTCGGTTTGATTGAGCCTGTTCATGGACGGTACTGAAAAGTGCAAGTTACCGTACACGCCCCTTAGCACAAAGCACTATCTAGAATGACTTTGTACATAACAATTCAAGCACACATAACCATTCTCCTCATAGTGTTAGATTTATACAATATTTAAATGTGTAAACTGTCTAATATTGTCTAAACTGTAAGCTCTGTAAGACTTCATTTTATTGCCAACTTTATTTCTTATTGTTTTGTCTATCCTTATCTGCCATAGATAGACGTGCACTGCAAATTCTACTGTTTTAATTGCAGTTTAATGGAATAGAAATTGTATTGGGTTGACAAAAAGGCAACTTGGAGGGTAACAAATAAAAAATGTATCAAATGGAAAGTGTGGACAAGTCATTATGAAAGCGTAGGCCTAAGCGTTGATAAGTAAAACAATTAAGTTTAAATCACGTGTTGTCTTTGATTTTTCTATCCTTACATTAGCATATGAATTTCATACCGTAGCAACTGGAATTATCAACCTTAACTTTTAATAAAAGGTCTTGGAAATAATTGCAAATACTAACAACAATTTACTACATAAAATTGATAGCAAACATTCACCAATCAAGTCCGATTTACATCCTTATTATGTACGTACTTTCTACGTCCTATGAATACCTTGTCCATCTACCTAAGTACCTTATCGCAGAGGTATTTAATATAAGTAATCAAAACTTAAAACACTTTGATATTTTTTCAAATAATTGACAAGAATTATCTAATATCGCACAAAAGTATATTAGAAAAATTTAAACTTTTTCGGCAATTAAATTACAACATTAACATAGTTTTAACATTAAACTTTGGCTCTATTTTCATTATCAGGAGAATGTGTATTCTCACAATTAAAGAACTTCAACCTGATATTGTACAAGATTTATTGCTAGCTGTTTCCATTTTCATATTGTATTGTCTGGGATTTCTCAACCACAATAAAACACTAATGCCTTGTTTTCAGTCAATTTTCAGAAACTATATGATGTACATAAATTTCAAATTTGAAACTGTACTTTTATTTACAATGACTGTGATTAGCAGATATGAATTTTGTATGCAATAATATTTGAATTTATGTGTTTTAATTGTCATTAGAGCATTTTAGTTGCTTTAAAGTTCGTGAAGTAATTGTTTTAAAAACATTTTTGTTTGTTCTGTTTGCTTTCTTGTTGAACACTGCATTTCAGAACACTTCTCCTTGGGTTCTTCACATCTAGAGCTTTGGGCTGTTGTCAACACAAGAATTCTTCAATGAAGTGTTCTGCCAATCTATTGAACAGTGTTAACACTAATATTTGCTTTGACTTTTTTCTGCTTTGTTTTTTGTTTCTTGTTTTGATTATTGCTTGTGAGCGTTTTTAATGTTTCTGTCTGTCAATTTTTATGATGCTGGTGGGTGGTGTTTGTATGAGCATTTTGGAGGACTGGGTTTTGCTTTCTTGCTGATGATGACGTTCAATGCAAGAACTTGTTTTTTTTTTAAAGATTTATTGACATTAATGTTAATATAACATCTGAACAAAATAACAGAATTTTTGGTTTCCTAGCTGTTCCTGTAATACTGCAAGTAATTGTTTGTGTACATTTCTTGAAATCTTTAACTAAATGATAAAAATGGGCATGTGCTCGATGCTTGCTTGAGGAAAATTATTTCTTTTATTTATTACTGACATTCACAACAGTGGCAGTGGATGATTGCTGTTTCAAGGTAATTATATAGAAGAGCATTTTGCGAAAAAAGTGACAAACATTAATTCATTTAATTCAAAGTAAGCTAAGAAAAAGCTGTTAAAAATATACATGTTCATCAGAATTTTATTTCAATTTAATCTAACCGGAAATATCTTACCTGAAGATTTTGCAGAGAACTTTTCCCTATTTGCTGCACAAACTGCCAATAACCTGTAACCAAGGTCAAGATCATAGCCAGGCTGAGCTGCCACACGGCTTACAACCTGAAAAGAAAGATTATAAGGTAAAAATGTATTTCACAGGATCGTTGCCTTTGTTACTGATGTACCATTAACAGTTGTTTTATACTAAAACGCTGGTGTGTCAATGTTCTTTAACTATGTTAAATAAGGTCAATGAAACAAGATGTCATGTAAGATTACTTTAAATTCACAAACTGGTAGTCTTGTTAATACAACAGCTTATTTAGATGTAACAGGTATATCACATTTTAAAGCAATTATATCATATACATGTACCAAGTTATTCGCTTTTCAAGTAAATGAGCTGGATATAAATCTCAAAATAATTGTCAATATAACATTTTACTAAATAAAAGACAAAATTCAAGAACTCTTTATTTAAACAAGAACTCTTTATTTAAAAAAAGCCTGTGTAAGATTTTTCAATTTTCGGAAAGGAAACATTTAAGTTTTGAGATGGTATATTTAACACATCTCAGAATAGATAAAAATATTTCAGGGTTTGACTGTACATGGTATGATCATGTTGTTTCAACATCAAAAACAAATCTGCTTACAAGCATTCAATTCTGTTAACACAGCATGAAAAACTTAAGTGACATTTTTTACTGAGCAATTTAGGAAGCTGGCAATTTCAAACTGTTCCCTGCTATCGCTCTTGTAAACGATTTCCCTTCCTAAACCAATTGTGATTCGTAATTAAATTTCAGTTTTCCTGAATGCTATGATATCTGACAACAATAAGCCATATTGTTCGTTCTCCCGTGATCCACATTTAAACAACACTTCCCATTATTGGCTTCTTACCCTATGCAACAGCAACGTTTTAATGTAAAATATTGATTAAAGCAAGGATGTCTCTGTTTTTTTTATTGTATAAACTTTCCAAAAGGAGTCTCCACAAGATCAATCACTTTTCCCTGGCTAAGTTTGAGCAATTGTCATATTTTCTGTAAATAGATTTTGTTTCATGTTATATGAAATATAATATCATAAAAACTGATGTCTTTTATGAATAAAAATTATTGACTTGTTATTTGTAAGGATTTCTCTTCCTCAATATCATAAAGAACACAGACTGACAAGTAGTTTTATTGCTTATGAATTGTATTTTGTCATCATTTTTTTTGCTGAAAAAATTAACCATATGACCATTGTCTCCATTATGTCATCTGCTTGAACAAAAATGAGGGGAACAATATAGCTGTCTTGAATAACTTTTGGTGAAAAGAATTTTCCTATACCTCTAGCATTAATTAATGATTGTAAAGAAACTAATGGGGTTTTTACTATGGGATGATATTTTATTGCAAACAACTTTATTGCATATACTATTTAAAAGAAATTTCAATATGCTTATTTAAACTTATCTTATTTAACACTGTTAAAAACAAAATGCAAAATTCTCTTCTAAGTTTGAGTATGGTTATTTAGTCCAATGACGAAATTAGGCAAAGGAAATATCTAAATGAGACAATTATAGGGTGTACACCACCTATACTAGTATATTATATTAAACAAGTGCAATTAAAACTGTTTCAATGTAAAAGAACAAAATGTCCCTTTAGGCCTTACCGATCACCATCTTAGTGCAGCATTGGGATTCAATTGGAGTTAATCGTTTACTTTCAATAAGGGGACGATATATTGAACTACGTTCCTTGACACATAAAGCAATCGTTAATGTGGTATGCATTTTATACCAGTTAAAACAGAGCATCTAACTGTTCACATGGAGCACCATTGCCAATAATTTAATTGTACACAAGTATTTTGTAAGAGGATTATACATGTATATGTTTCTACAAAAGTGATACAACGTTATCTGGCATATTTACAGGTATCCAAATGTCTGGAAGTCATCTGATTTGGCTTCATTAAGCCTATTAATCTCAAAAGGGAGAGCATCAGATTAGTAATTAAGGGGTCGCTGATACGATACTTCTGGGAAGGTGCAAGCTTTCCATAACAATTCGGACAATAAGCGGGACAAGTGGGGTCACTTGGAGAGAAATTGAAGGGTAATTACTGGTTAGCAAATATATCAATATGTGAAATATCCATATATCCACTTACAAAACGAAGAAGAGCAAACAAAAAAAAATCAAAATATACCCCACAGCATTCAATCAAATCTAGGTAACCAATATATGCATTTGAAAAAAAGCATTTGCAATAACATGGAATATACTATACAAAGTATGAAAAACAACATCAACAAGGAAGGGAGGCATTCGAAGAACGTATCACATGACTACGGGCAAGGAGACCGACAGGACACCAAACAAAAACAGGACAGGGCACAGGGGTAAGCACAAACAGGGTGTTAATTTAAATAAATCACAATAGGAAATCATAGAAACCGACGAGGAAATTAAAGAAGACAATTAATTAATAGGCCTACAAAAGTTAAAGGGGGGTAAGGGAAAGGGACTCGTTAGCTGGGGCATTGGAGGAATTGAAAGAAACTAGGAGCGAGATACTTACCGTAGATGAGAAAAAAAACAAGAAGGGACACAAAGGCGTAATCACAATAGCATGTAGCAAAATCAAGACATAAATATGAGGAAAATAGAGGAGTGCCTCCTTGGAACGGTCAGCTGCAGTACTGGGGAATATAAACCGGTTAATGGTGCACCAACTTCACTGTTAGTCCCAACACGTTCCTTTTAAACGAGACAGTGTCATTAAATCCAGCTAAGTGAAATTCTAACAGTTGTTATGATTACAAAAGTTGACATAAGTAAAGCACAGAAATGCTCATGTAGATACAATGACCATAACAAAAAAGAAAGACAAAGTAGCAAGAATATCACCTACAAGGGCCCAACGAAGCAAGGCAGAAGACGAAACTTATGACAATTCAGTCCCAATGGGCTTTAAGAACTGTCCATCATAGTCTTCTACTTGGTCGGTCAGGTGTAATCAAAAAGAGGAAAGCGTAGTGTCCAATTGTAAAGCGTTGAGGTACGCCTTAAAATAGTAGGTTCATAACTTCTTTTAATAAAACATTTAATCATTTTAGAAAAGGCAGCAGAAAAATGTCCATGACCCAAAATTTTATGAAGTTAGCAAATCACATCTATACAGAAATCAGGCCTGCTAATCTCTCTTTGCAGAAGGGTTTCCAAATCGCTATTGAATTTTAAAATGAAATCGAAATTACGATTGTAAAATTTAGTTAAATACTTCCATAATTTATGATAGTGGTAACCATAGGCACTTTACTTAACAAATAAACGCAAAAGCAAATAAATATGATTCGCTAGAAGATCAACAATGCCAACTGGGCTATAACTTAACCTCGCCTCTTAATATCGGTCCAAACAAAGAACTTTCCAAACACAAAGAAGTATCTTAAGTTTTAAAGTAAATTTAATGATAATAGCAAAGATAAATAAAAAATACAATGAAGTATTAAGTTAAGAAGTGTATATAAAATCAGAATCAAATAATCCCTGTAATCACATATTTATGATTTGTTCACTTTTGCTGAAATTAAATTATTGAATTTATTTCTAATTAAATTCTTATATTTTACTTCATTTTCAAAGGGGTTTTTCGCTTTAATATCACATTTATTGATTCTGTTAAAAAGAATTAAACTTATTAATCTAAAACTCTCTTCAACTGATTTTGCCAATTACGTAGTACTTTGAATCAAGGTATTACCATTTTTATTTGATTTCTTACTGTCTTACATCCTTAAAGTACTCTCAGGTTAGAAGGTTAATTTCAAGAAAAAGACTTCCTACTGTCTTTTAATATCATCTGAACACATTACAGCAGGAAGTTTCCAATTGTTCCAAACTTTCCAATACTTCAAATCATTTCTGTTGTGACGCAAGATTGTTGCTAGAAGATTTTTAACCAAAGATATTATTTACGTATTTTCACACCATTTAAAGTACCTGACTTTCCAGCAATCTCAACAAAATTGTGGAAGCTTTCGGCAAAAATTGAAAGTGATTCCAAATAAACAGCGGTAATAACTTAAATATGTTTGACAGACAGTATACAAGATTTTTCTTCCATATATAAACCAAGGACTGACCAATCATTAAATATTATCAATATGCACGTGTTTTTTTCTCATCAAATTGCCCTTAAATTCTAAAGCATGCTACATATTTTTAATGGGCTTGTCCATCTTTTATTCAAGACAAAGCCATTTATAATTTTTAGGCAAAAATTCAATATATGTTCTGACTGAATCGTGGACAGTGAGGACCTCACAGATGTGATGGCAGGTTTTGGTCTTCTTTGGTCACATAGGCAGAAGAAGTTGCTGCAAGAAGGGTAATATGTTGAGACAATTTTTTTTATTGCTTTTAGGATTATACCTATATGAGCATAAGCTGTTAGTCTTGGTCCTTCTTATTCATGCATTTCTAGAGTTGTAAAGTATCATTTTGTGTTTATAACATATATATTTGTTTGAAATAAACAATGTTCAAACCCTAAACTAACTAATTTGCATAACAAAGTTCACCATGATCATGGATCCTGATAATGATTATCTCTTTTATTGCAAGATATTAAAAAAAACTTATACACCCTTTAACTTCAAAATTTCTTGTAAGATATGTTTCAACACACCATTTATCTTTAAGCATTCTTTAAGCAAGATGTTTAAAATGAAACTGAACAATGTCTTTAAGCATTTAAGCAAGGTGTTTCAAATAAAATTGAACACACCGTTGATCTGTAAGCATTCTAACAAGTGCTTCAAATTAAATAGAACACTGCCTGTATTTTTAAGCACTCTAGCAATATGTTTTAAATTAAATAGAACACTGCCTGTATCTTAAAGCACTCTAGCAAGATGTTTCAAATTAAAGCGGACTCTGTGTTTAAGCATTCTAGTAAAATGTTGCAATTTAAAATGAACACAGCCTGAATTTTGTCAACCATTCTTGTCTTGTAAAATTCATTTCAAATAAAATTGAAAACGGCCATTGTTTCTTATTATTCTTGTAAGGTATGTTTCAAATAAATTGAACATACTACAGGGGCTGTCA